ACACTGAATTTTGCTCATCACATGAAACGAGTAAATCTAAGTTTGATTTTATTGCAGAAGAACAAGAATGATCAAAATTTCGGTTCCAGCCACACACACAACGTTGGATACAGTGATTCCGGAAGCATTTCACCCTGAAGATTTGGGGGATCTTCCGGAACAACTTCGAAGGGAGTTAGAATTACCAGAAGCAGAATCGTAGATGGTACTTCGAGAAGAAGGAAATGTCAGCATCGGTAATTTATAAATTTTTTTGCACTGAAAATGATTAAATGCTTGCTGTCTTCCGAAAGAGTGCACTATATTTTAGCTTACTATCACTTTCATCATGGAAACCAAAAAAATGACAAAATTTCCATATTGATAAGCAATCCGCTCTAATGAATGCTCTCTGCAAACAGTATTTTTTTAAGTTTTAGTGTGCGGTATCTGCGACAGGCAATTCGATACACTAAAAGGGTGGCGCATTCACGTCTCGATGAAACACAAACAGGAGGGTAAGTATTTTTGAAACGGGATTTTCAGCTTGTTTTGGTACATTTGGTTCAATTTGAAACTATCAAACCCGTTAATTATACATATTCCAGGTTTTTGTGCTCGCTGTGGCCATTACCTTCTATTGCCACCCGAATTTACGGCCGCACAGAAAACAGCAGTGGTCGAACTTCATGCGCTCGATTGGTGCCCGAGGACATGTGCAGCCGTAATCAACGAAAGACAGGTGATGCGCCGCAGATTTTATCTTGTGGGAAGAGAAAAGGATGCCTATCACATTTTCATTCCAGGTGAGAAAGTAGCAATATTCGAAAAGTGAAGTTTTGAAATTAAGAAAGAAAATTCGAATGAATAGAGAAGATAAAGCATTTCACAAAGTCGACCTTATAGTTTTTCTAAACAGTGAATTTTTCTTCCAGACCAATAACATCATTTGGCTTTCTCCATCCTGTCGCTGCCTGTTCCAGTTCTCCACCCTTTATCTTCTACCTAATGAAGTCGATCGACCGGGTCAGTAAATATTGAAAAAAGAAAAACAAAAATGAAAAAAAATAGTTAAAAAATTAGCTAAAAAAAATAAAAAGATTGAAAACAAAAAAAGTAAAAAACAAAAAAAGAAAAAGGAAACAAAAACGAAAAAAAGCGAAAAAAACAAAAGGTGGAAAAAAAAATGAAAATAAACCAAAAATAGAAATAATGAAAAAATATACAAAAGTACGAAAAATTTCAATTTTTCGAAGTAATCTTGAGTGTAAAAGCAATTGAATTTGAAGTATATGTAATAAGGAATGTTGATCTTTGGAAAAAAAAGCCTTTGTTAATTGCTTGGAAATAATTGTGAATTAAGGGATGGTAAAATTTGTAAATCTTTGGAAAACTCTTTTACAGTAGTGACTGCTATGCTATCATTGATAATATTATGGCCTGTACTTGAAAAATAAGTTTTGCATCACTTCGAATTTAATTGCTTTCTTTAATTTTCCAATTTAATAACATCTGTTAAAAGTTTTGCGTCTTTTCAAACTAACTGCTCTTATTAATTAATTTTGTTTTCACTGAATTCTTTTCACTTTGATATTGTCTTAATCTTTTGTATTTTTTGTAACATAGTTGAATTTATATTACTCGATTTTTAATACTTGTTGCTCAAGATTTATTAAAATTTGTTAATTGCCTGAAAATAATTGAATTCTAATTATGGGTAAGAAATTGGAAGAATCTGTGTTTTTGGAACATTTATTTGAAGACTTTGAAGATTTGTTTGCACCAGTATATGCTGTCAATCATCGATCGCCCTCTGGTAAAAGGTTAAAAATTTTGTGAAGGGAAGTTTTTGGTTCTCTTTTGAATTCAATTATTAATGTTTATTTCTCAATTCTAATAGCTCCAATCTGAGCAAATTATATTTTCTGGATGTTTAATTTTGCCAATAATGCGCTGTTTTGATTATTTTTTTTTCATTTTTTTCCTTCTTAAAACTTATCCTCCATATTGCTTAACTCTCTTATATTTTTTGTTGAAGCTTAATCTATAGATTTGGTACCAATTTGTGATACAATTAAGTTTGTAATATTTAATTCTTAATAGTAGTTACATTAGATTTATTAAGATTTGTTCATAATTGGTTCTATTTTATTTGTAATTTCAATTAATTGCGTTCGTTTTATATAAGAGAATTATGATTTCTATGTAACGTGTTTTGATGAACTAAAAGTTTCTGTTGATTAGCATTCCATTTATATGTGATGAATTGCCAAGTTTAGAAGTACTGATATTCCTTACCAGTTTACGGTACTATATTTTTGTATAAATCACGAGTTGGTACCCAGTTTAGAAAATTACTTGGATGATTATCTTAAGTGGCTTTTTCCTGTAAAAAAAAAGTGATGTCCCAATTTGATATAAACTTTTATTGCGCTTATTTGTGTTTGTCCTTCTCAATCCGTTCAGCCTCAAATTTTCTTCAGAGCCTTAAGTTTTATCACTTTGTGGAATATTTTTTGATCTTTTAATTGTTGAAGTTTCGAACTATTTAATTTTTTCGTCCTGAACCTTTTCCTTCATGAATTTAAAGTTTTTTTCCTAATTTTGTGGAATTTCCAATTTTTTCCAGATTGTTCGAATATCAAATTAGCTTCTAAGCTTTTTAGTTTTTAATCTAATCTCCAAACTTCTTGAAAACATAAAATTTTTGTTTCAATTTCTTAGTTTTCGCATTATAGTACATTTAGAATTTTTAGATTTTTTTTTTAACTTTTCTGATTTTTCGTTATCTCTGAATATACTTTTGACCATTTTGAGATTTGAAATATTTTTTGAGCCTTCACTTTTTTAAAACTTTTCGTGTTCCTAACCAGGAATTCCTTTTACTTTAAATTAAAATTTCTGAGAATTTAACTTTTTTTTTAGATTCTTGACTTATTGCAAACATTTTTAATCAAGTTAGTTTTTAATTTTTCTTGAACTGCTTTTTAATTCTATTTCTGATTTTTCAGTTTTTCTCCATTACCAGGGTTCAGTGATATTTTTTTGGTTCTTTAAATTTCATTTAATTTTTTTGCTATCTCAAGTTGTTCTTGTCATTTCCCGAAAATTCAATTCTTCCCTTACTTTTTGCATGCTTTTTATTAACATTACTTACATCTCTTGTAATATTTTTACATGCATTTGCTCTAACTTTGGCCAATTGCTTTTCTGCATGCGCTTCCGAGTTTCGCCTTCTATAAACTGCATGCTTTTGTAACTTCATTGTTTCTCATGTAACACTTTTTTACTTGCATTTATTGCAACTTTAATTTTTCTCTGTATGCCTTTCTGGTTTTGCCTTTCTACTGCATGCTTTTACTTGCACAGTTCTACTATTATATTTCTGATTACTTGCATTCACTGAATATGTTTTACATAGTTAACTAACTGCATGCCTTTATTCATGAAAATTCTTTCCAGTTGCTCATTGTTATTGCATGCATTTTGCGCAGTTCGATTAATTGCGTGTTTTTTCTTTTTCATCTGATTCTTTCTATTGCTTATTGTTCTTGCATGGATCTTACCTATTCTGACTAACTGCATGCTTTTATTCATGTTATTCTTTCCAGTTGCCTGTTGTTCCGTGCATTTTGCGTGGTTTCACTAGCTACTTCCTTTTGTTTGTTAATTTTTCTATTTAATTATTGATGTCATATGCATTTTTCGTAGTTCAACTATGTTCCACTGCATGGTTTTTTCATCTAATTATTTTCATTACTTATTGTTGTTGCATGCATTTCATTTCACGTAGTTTCACTACTGCTTGTTTTTTTTATGACTGGTCGTGCATTTCATATTCAATTTAGTTCAATTCATTAATGCAACAAGGAGGCGTGCAAAATGCAAGAAGTCGGGATTTCCGATATCGTTAGTTTATAAATTTTTCATGACCGTTTGTGAGAGATTTTTTTTCGAGTTTACATGTTTTCAAATCAATTTGTAGCTTTTTTAAATTTGAAATTTTTGTTTCAATTACTTACAGTCGCTAATTATTCCATTAAATATATATTATGGAACTGTATTTTATAAACATTTTCTCATTTCCAAAGTTATTATCAACTATCAATTTCATATTTTCATGATATTTGAAATGAAAAGATGATCAAAAACTGATTTAATCACCTTACTGCTTATTTTAATCTACAATTTGGTTTAAAAAAGTGATGAAATTATTTCAAATTTTTAAAGAAATTATCAACAGCTCTTTCACTTAATCGAATTACTTATACTAGCAACAAAATTTACCTTTAAGTCCTAAATTATTCCAATATTAATATAAAACTAAAATTATTTTTTTGGTTCGAAAGATAGCAATCAAAGGATAGTTGTCATAAAATTAATCTATAGTATTGAAATCAACAAATTAAGAATGGAAAAAGAAAAGATAGTGAATGATTGTTTGTAAATGGTTAGACATATTTATAAAAATATTTATATGTACATTTATAAAACGAACGAACGATCTGTGTTTTTATTTATTTAATAAACGACAATTTGTTTGTAAGGGAACAGTATCAAAGAATACTCACTCATTTATATCGATGATCAAATGGATGACAAGTAATTATTATTAACAATTTCACTGTTAATAATTGGAAATGAATTTCATGTCCTGTTTCATCATAATTTTAATTTCATTTCTATCATTGATTTTTAAACGCCCCGCTATGATGAAAAACAGATTTCTTATAAAGGTTTGTTATCATTTATTGATTTTTAAATTTGTATATGCATTTTATTTATTAAACTTAATGTATGCACTATAAATATGCAAATTTATTAGTGATTGTCGACATTCATTTTTCGTTTTTGTAAAAATACTTTCCCTTTTTTGCTGATTAGAAATACAGCTGTTTCGATCATAATTAATCTCATAATTTAATCTCGTTATTTAACAACCGAACATACACCAATACGACGATGTCCCTGGCCTTTAATT